CAGGTTAAGTCATTTCCCTACGGTTGTACTGTTAGTAAATGGTAAAAACAGGATTTGAATCCAAGTTATCTGGCTCCAGTGTTTACACTTTTAATAATTTAGTTATACTGCTTCAAAAGTATATTATATGAACACAGATATTCCAAACATTACAAAAACATAGGTTCATACCCAAAAGATTAAAACACAGATGTTCCCCAACTTATGATGGGGTTAAATCTCAATAAACCCATTGTAAGTTATAAATTTCTTAAGTCCAAAATGCATTTAATACACCTAACCTACCAAACATCATAGCCTAGCCTACCTTACCTTAAATATGCACAGAACACTTAACACTTGCCTACAGTTGGGCAAAATCATCTAACCAAAGTCTATTTTATAATAAAGTATTGAATATATCATATAATTTGTTGAATACTGTACTGAAAGTTAATAATAGAATGGTTGCATGGGTACTCAAAATATGGTTTCTACAGAATGTGCTTCATTTTCACACTATCCTAAACTAGAAAAGTCATAAGTTGAACCATTGTAAGTCAGGGACCATCTGTAATTATTTTCAGGATTCGTGAACTTCTATGTCAGCAGGGAGTCAAGGACCTTTCAGAATGAGTCCCAGCTTTTCCAAGTTCTAGTTGTGATTTTTCACTGAGCACATTAAGGTCTCATCTATAAATCTTGGATAAATAATTCCTGCCCTACTTTTTATAGACCATTATTTTGGAGATAAAATTGAGTAAGATCATGAGCCAACTAGACATCATTTTAGAAAAAATTGAGATATTAAAAAATGTTAAGCTAATGAGATAATAGATGAAACATTGTTTTGAAAATTGCAAAGCTCTGTACAAATAGTTTTTTAAAAGTTCTTTTCCACAGGCTTAAAAAATAGTCTTAACAGGCTCTCACCTAGACTTCTGAAATAGATTCCAGACACTTTCCTGCCTCCAGTCTCTCACAATTGGCATCTATGTTTCATGAACCATCATCTGATCTACAAACAAGTTATTTTCCCTTTAAAAATATTTTAGAGAAATGCAATACCTTCTGAAGTTATTTTAAACTCCTTGGCTGTGTATCTGGGGGCTACTGAGATATGGACCAATGCCAACCACAACTGAATGGTGGAAATAGCACTGGAGTATGCATAGACCCATGGCTTAGTCTTAGCTCTGAAAATAACAAGTAACCTTGGAAAAGTAATTTAATAGCTCTTTGGGGTATAGTTTCTCTCAGGTAGTACCTTCTGTATACATGTATCCATCTAGCTATCAAGTGACATTTATTGAGCACTGGGCATAAGAGAAAAGAATTAATCTATAACTCATAGGTAGAATACAGTCCCTTAGGTTCTGTGGTTCCACTGTTCAAATCCTATTGCCCATTGTCACCCTACAAAAAACCAATCTCTACTTGATACTCCATAATCCACACTATTTGATTCATCTGGTAAATCTCTAATTTATGCCAACCTCAGCAGTCAATTGTCTTCTTATCTTTAAAGGTTCGCCTTAAAGGCTATTATTCAAAGAAATCTTCTCTAATCCCTGTATGAGATGGTTTTCCTTCTTCCCTTGAACTCCTATAACATATTTTCTCTCCCTAATACATTTCTACCTGGTGTGATTCTCCAGATACAAATTCTACTATCCTGGCTGGTGATAGAGAATAATATTCTTAAGGGCAAGGTCTGTGTTTTTCTCTTGGTCATTCCTGCAGGGTCCAGCACAGTGCCCGATGAGGCATTTGCTCCCACAGGACACAAATAAGAAATGTTCAGAGGGTTAGAACTTACTGTTTCCAACTGTCTTGACATAAACTAAGCATAAAATAGTCAAGACCCATACAGATCACATATTGGCCTCCCACAAGGTACATCCGGCAACAACCCTAGGATGTTGCAGCAATGCAGGGTGGCTTGCCCCTATCTTATAATAGAAACAGTCAAATAATGACTAGTGATGATGAAGTTATTAATACTTTCTTACAAGACAATACTTATGTATATATCAGATTGATCCATATGAAATTTTTACTTACCAAAATGGCAATTTCATATAATTCAATCTGATACTTTGCTAACTTATGAATTATCTGTCCCCCTTCCCCCTCCCACTCTAGAATGAGTCTTATGAGAGAAGGCATTTTTGGACATTTTGTTCACTGTTGTACCTCCAGTGCCTGGAACGCAGTAGCATTTGGCAAACATTTGTTGAATGAATGAATGCACTTACTAAGCCACTAACTACTTGCCTTATACTCTTCTATGTGATTTATACTTTACAGCCCATTTGTTTCCTCAAAAGCAGTAGCATTTGGCAAACATTTGTTGAATGAATGAATGCACTTACTAAGCCACCAACTACTTGCCTTATACTCTTCTATGTGATTTATACTTTACAGCCCATTTGTTTCCTCAAAACATCCTGCTTACTGCCATTCTTCAGATGAAGAAACTGAGGCTTGGTGAGGTCTAGTGACTTGCCCAAGACTACACTCTTCACTTGATGCTCGGCCATTTATATTTATGCTGTGAAAGTTGTCCAAATTTGGGCTATCTTTCCTCTCTCAACTAGACCATGCATAGATTCTACTGGAAAGAGTTACAAAGAAACTGTAGGATACCAAAAAGAGAGGAAGGTGGGGAGGTGAGAAAACAAAGGGAAGAAAGAGAGACACTAGTCAGTGGGTTTGCAGAAGCCTGTTATTCTTGGTGAAATGCAGTATGAAACAACATCTAAAAATGACCCTCAGTCCTTCAGGTCTTCTGCCTCTTCAATTGTCCTGACACTTGTAGCCCATCACTGGTGCTGCTACTTGGGAACCAGGGGTGGATGATGGACAGCTTTTGCCTGCAGCTTACATGTGAGCCTCGTTGGGACTATCAGACTCCTCTAGCAAGCAAGGGAGTATTGTCACGCTTTTTACCATTTCTTCCTTGGATGTCACTGGGGGCCCCTACTTACAAAATCCTGTTGCTTTAAAAGACTTTTCCCTAACCTATCTGTGGAGACACAGTGTTGAAAAGAACAAGAGAGTTTATTTTCACACGAAGGGGTTTCAGTTTGAAATGTATGTTACTCATTCCCCTTTGGTACAAAGATGCAGTCTATCTTTTGGGAAGGGAACAGTGTAACCTTGGGACACCTTGTTCAAGAACAATCGCCATAATTTGTTACTCCCACTATTCTCGATACGAGGGGTCTCAGGTTCCATGTGGGGTTTGTCCAAGAGTGGCCTGTTACAATTTCCACACCTGCTGAAATGTCCTTTCCCTACAGCCTGAAAGAATCAGTTCACTTTCTAGGATATAGAATCTAAGGCAGTGCCAATGTATATTATATAAAAGTTCCAAGAAGATAAATGGATGATTTCTCAAACTCCCTGAAATAAAAAGAACAATTCCGGCTGTCATAAAATCAGTCAGACACTCCTAAGTTAATTCTTTGAGATTTGTAAAGCATTTTGAAAAATGGAGGAAAAAAAGCCCAAATTTCTTGCTAGCATCTGTAGTCTGACCCTGGAAGTGCTGGCCTTCAAAACAGAAAGGAGATTATGAGCAAAGGCGTGGGAATAGGACAGAATAGGGATCATACACCTGGTTTGCCACATACTAGCCTGTGTCTTTGGCAAGTTAGTTAACTTCTCTAACTCTGTTTCCTTAAGCGTAGGAAAATGAAAGATAAGAAAATGAATGCAGCACAAAGCAGTCCTGGCATGCAGTACCTGTTCAATAATTATTTAATAACAAAATATCAAACAGGCTTCATAAGGAGGGAGTGGTCTCTAAAACTGCCTGTCTTCTGATGCCTAGCCCCTGGGTGAGTTCAAATATCTTTTACTTCGAATTAATGGAATAAATTTAACATCTCTTCCTGTGCTTCTAGGACTAACTCAGCACAGCTGTGGCCTTATAAAAATCCAGTATTAAACCAGATTGAAAGGACAGGCTGCTTCTTCAGTTCCAGACAGCACAATTCAGGTGTGATGAAAGTAGGGGAGATGCTGTTCTTCGGAGTGAATGGTCACTCACTATGTGGAATAGCTTCTCCTGTCTCTAAGATCAAGGATGCTAGAGAAGCAAACACAACAGATGGTCTTTTCTGAAGTGATACGAAATAAATAATACATTCCTAAAACAGACACAGGATGAAAAATACCCAGGATTCTCACCAGTTTGGAGCTTTCACTTTCAGGCCATTGTTTAACACCAACTTCAAAACTGCCATCTTCCTCACAACTAACAGGTTTGGTGCCACTCTGATCCTATGGGACATTAAAAAGAAAACAGCAAAGATGTCATTTTTCACTCACACTGCCCCAAACTATACAGATACTCAGTCGCGGTTGCTTGTTTTATCATTGTAGTGGGTGTTATTTCCTCTACAGAAGCCATTCCTGTTTTCTTCCTTTCTAGCAAAAGGCCATTTTTATTTTTTTTCCAGTATACATCCCTGCTGCTCACACATATGCCTTACGGAAAGCTGGTCCCTACTCTGTTCCAGGCATAGGCCTGATTACCTAAGGTTAGTCCCATAAAAGAATGCCAACAATTTTATCAGGAATGGTATGTCAGGAATGGATTTTGTCAGTTCTGGTCAATGATACACAAAGAGGCTTGCTGGAGAATTGAGAAAAAGTTCTTCCTTAATCTTAAGAGAGCCACAAGAAGTCCCCATACCTCCCAAATTAATAAGGAAGCATGAAGCTCAAATTGCTGTGGACAGCCATCCCACAACAATGAGAGAACCAGCCTTAGGATGAAGCTGACACTTCATCTTAAGAGTCAAAGCAAAGGAAAGAACTACTTCTCCGATGGCAAAACTTGGCCACTGGATGGAGCCATCCTGGAGGCCAGCCTTATCCTGAGCCACCAACTAGTGAGAACTGATATATTTCCTTATTGTTCCAGCCAGTTTGAGGTAGCTATTTTGTTACCTCCAGCCAAAACCTTCACACTCAGACAGTTGCTTATTTTCTGTACAACAAGTAATCTTGCTTATTTCTGAAATCAAGTACTTAGCACCATGCTTGGCACATGGAAACCACTTGCCAAACACTGGTTGAACCAATGAATGAATTGAGTACTTGTTTTCCTGATTTTTTTATTTTTTTTCCTGTAGAATCCTAAAAATATGGTTTTAATATAAATGAGGCATCTGGTAATAATAAGCCCCATTAAAATTAAAATTCCAAAACACATTAGGCATCTCCTTAATTGAATTATGACGTATTAAATGTTATGGTTAATTAACTAGAGATTTCTTTACTTTTGGGGGATACATAAGGGAGAATAAGGATAATAAATGGAGTATCTATGTTGTACTTATCTGGATTTTTATTTTATGTATTTTTTTTTGGCATCTGGCGGGTACAGGGATTGAACCCTGGACCTTGGTGTTATCAGCACCAC